GATTCCGTTTCATAAAACCTTTGCCAGGTTCTCATTTCCATTTAATATATAACCATATTGTCCCCAAATTTCGAATCGATCGAAACTTATGAAATGGAATACTGTTTGTCGAAACTTACAAAACTTCAAGAAGGGAAGCAAACGACTTGTACGTTGTGCGCGAGTTACTATTATCGTTCTGTCATGCCCTATCGCATGGATTACGGGTGCTGACTGTTACTTGTCTACTTTATTGCCTACTGTGCTGCAGTGCCAGCACCATAATATGCTAATAGAGGGATGCTAGCCTCCCCCTGTATCCTGTTTACGAGAACTCACCCCATGCGCCCCCCTAGCGTTCGTGAAAATGTTACGAAGATGTTAGCAAGTCTCGTATAAGAAGCGGTTAGTACGCTCGTGTATCGACGAGAAATATCCATTACGGAGGATAAAGTCGAAGATGTATGAATCGCTTTCGGAAAATGATTTATAATATTTTGCGTCACTGCAATTTCGTCACTGCAGGTTTCACTGTTGCCTTCTCGTTATTTTACAGGAACACAACGTTTTTTTCTTTGGTAGTTTCTTTAAACAGAATTTTCTCTTTCTCCGTAAAGTCCCGTAAATAGAAATTTTTCTTCCCTTCTTCTCCCCAAAAATAAAAGTCTCTTCTCTACAAATCTTGCTACTTTCCACTCTCGATCGACAGTCTTTTCTTTTCAAACAAAAATTCTTCAAGATTTAATTAAGCCAAGCATCTACTCTCGCCTTCGGTCTACAACAGAAATAAGTCTCACTAGCCAGAACTAGAAATAATTGCGCGCTCAAAATAAAAAAGAGGCAACTCTGAAAATACTCTTTGAACTCTATCAAAATCGAGACGCGATCGCATTCGAGCGCACACTAGTAGACAAATCTTCTCGGCGAGCGCGTTGAAAAAATGCTCGGTGCCATCTTCTCGTAGGAAACGGAACGAGTCCCGAAAAAAAAAAACCCCGCGAATGGAAAAAAAAAAAAAAGAAACGAGCGGAACGCGGGACAAAATGCGGAGAATGGAAAACAGGGGAAGGGAGAAAATCAAAAGCGTCTCGCGTTGTTTGCACGCGTGCAGGTTAAACGAGGATCGGTCTCGCGCGCGCACACGATCATCCAAGCTGGACGATTGACCGAAGCGTTGTCGAGGGGTGGTTTGGGGCTTGGTTACGGGCGTGGTGCACACGATAAAAATGGCGCTACGCCGGGGCGAGGGTGGCCTCTTTTATTCTCGCATAAATGCCGCGTGTGTGATGCACCCCCAACAGACCGCCCCGGTTTACTCTGCTGAAAAACACCGTGTCACCCCTCTCTCCCCTTTCTTTTCTCTCTTACGGTCCGCTCTGTCTCTCCCTCCACACTCTCCAGCCATCGGAGAACCCCCTCGGTTCTTCTCTTGGTTCTACGGTATCGCGGTTCAACTCTAGCCCCTCGTACGCGCCTCGTGCCACCCTTCCTCGTGATTGGGAGGCACGAGTTTCCCGCTTAACCCTCGAACAGCTTATTATGCGACAGACTCGGGATAGATGGATGGCACGAGAATGGTTTCGGGATTGTCAGACGGCACGTCGACGACAGATCGAAAGATTTTCGAGGGTCTCGGAAGGTTTCTTTGCGACGACGACGGGGAGGAGGGCTCGCTTTGTTGCACGAGTGTGGATCAACTTTTCATTATGATTTCTTTGTTGTTTTGGATTTTCCCCGTTTGACAAAACGAAAGTTTCGACAGTTCGACTGATTCGAGGAGAATTTTTTGAATAATTTGAGCAATGGGCGATTATTTTACACTCGGAGATATACAAAGAAGGAGAAAAGGGCTAGTTTGTCGTGTTCCTATTCGAAAGTTTAGCGGGAACCCTTACTTTGATTTCAGCTACCCTTTCGCCCTCGAGACGAGGGATCGTCTGTCTCAGTTGTCGCAGGAGGTGCTCGAAGATTGACAGACATCGCGTACAACTACGTAGGTTAACTACGACGTCTTTTAACGTGAACGAGTAAATGACAGTGTGGCGCGATCAGTTTACAATATTCAGACAGACGTTTGTACGCCTGTGAATGAATAAAAGATGGACAAAGGAGACTCAGAGTGAGATCTGTGTCGTTAATTGATTGATAATTATTCCGCACTATGTACCAAGCTATCTTTGAAATTTCACTAACACTATAACGAGACACGACTGTTTGTGACTATACTGGCAAAATTTGAAACGAATCAGAAAGTGCACGTAGAAATTACGAAATTTGACACAAGTATTACAGAGATTAACGCAAGTATTTAAAGTATTTAAAATCAATTTAAATATTACTGTGTCAATTCCATAATTAAGATTTGGCAGTCCTGTTCCAAATTGAATTTGAGTAACAAAACGACACACTCGCGAAAATTGTCTGTCAGTGTTCGTATATTCCCGTGAGCCTATATGTGCTTATATATAAAGGGCAGATGTAGTGCAACCGTTTCATCGAAGTGGAATTGCATCGCTTGAGGTATCGATCGAAAACGAATGGCGAGCGATTCCGTTGCAGAAACGCCGGACGTGGTACCCGACGTAGCTTAATCTCGCGTTTCAAAGACCGCTCTTGACGCTGTCATAACAATAAGCCGAATAGAAGATGCGTAGGAAGGTGCAATCAATAATTAAATAAACGACGAAGGTCGCCTCGAAGCCCGACGATTGATCGCGTGATGGGTCTAATGGGCGAACGTTATGGGGTTTCGACGTTCGTCGAGCGTGCCAAAGGGACCGGAAATTTTCTTCCTCGCCTCTGACGAAACTGCGAGCCGTTTCTTTCCTCCGACACGTTTGTGCTTTCGTAGAAATTTCTTTGTCGATATATATATATTGTCTTTTGAAAGTTTTTGGTATTCTGTTTTGTTGAAAATTTTAGACACAAAAAGAAAAAATTTGACAGAAGTTGAAAAAACATTAGAGCTAACGTTAAATCTACGGTCGAGCAATACTATTATTACGGAGTGTGTTAGACGAGAGCAAAACAGAGCCTCAGATTCATAAAATTAGACGACATCATCGAATGAAGATTATTATCAATTGCTTTCGTATAATTTTATTTTTCATCAAGTACTCTCTAATCGTGTCATTTAGAAATTTTACCGCGTTCAAAACACTTTGAAAGAACCTGAATAAGTTTTTTTTTCGAAACTGTTCTAAATAATTCCAATAATACAACAATTATCGCAAGTTTAACCAATAACAGGAAAAATAACACATTCATATTGATCGCGAAATCAATATTCCGAATATCCGGGGCGGAGAAAAAGAAAAAAATGGGAACGAACAATATTTCATTATCCCCGGGAAAGAATCGCTAAACACTGTCATTCGCAACTCGCACCCTCTGGACGAATTACAATTCCACTCATTGCACCGGGAACGCGCCATTCATCGACGCGAGACAGCTCGCGCTCGTGCGGTCAGGATCGGGGGGGGGGGGGG